AAGAGTCGATAGTTTTGGAATAGTTTTGGCATTACCAATGCGCCGCTTGCCCCTTTGATAAAACATTCGAACAGTCAGCACCGTTTACTGTCAGTCCGACCCGGAGTCGAACTGGATGTGGAAGTCGAAGTGCTTGGCTGTTTCTAATTTATGGCATTTTAACAAGCAGGCTGCATGGAACGAAAACAGCAAAATGGGGGGACAGGCAGTTCCGTTACAGTTTCTTGCTGCAAATAGGCATAAATTTGCATTTAATGCAGCTGAGAATGAAAAGGGCAAAAATGAGGAGCGCAAATGCCAAAAATTATTTTGCTATTTAGTAAGTGTATAATTTCCTGGTCCCGTCTGGCTAGCGCCAGGACTCTGGGTCCTCTGCCTGGATGCCAGATCGCAGGTCGCAGGTCGCCGCTCGGCAGGTGCCATAAAAGCGGCATAAATTTTTAAACTTTTACAAAAAATTTGCATTGCAAATGTCCTAAACACATACACACACACACACACACATGTAACTCGCTGTTTGCTGTAGCATTTTTCGCGTTTTGCATGCGGTTTTAACAGCGTTTGGGTCAGTCTATTAAAATGCAAAAACCCACGGCGCGTTGCCTCCTTTACCGTCCGGAAGTCCATTTTGTCTTGTCGTTCACGTCATAAATATGGCCGGGCAAATGGCGTTGCTGTTTACGGTTAGGTCTGCCCGTATATAACTGGGTGTACGTGTGTGTGTGTGTGCGTTTGTTTATGTGTGCCCCTTTTAATGACAATTTGCTGAGGGTTTGCATTAAATTGAAGCGAATTTCACTTGACACACATACGTGAACGTGTATGTGTATGTGTGTGCACTTTACTCCATTCGTCGTGCGTGGTTTCTTGTGGTCTTATTTTTACGGCATAAATTTAAATAATTTCCACTCTGCATTCTGCTTTTACAACTTGCTCTTTGAAATGTGTCTGTCTAGGTACTAATCTATATCTGTTTGTATGTGTGTGCATGTGCTTGTGGCAAATGCCTGCTTTAGTTGGCATCTGATGACAGCGGCTTGGAATAATATTCTGGCTGCCATCAGGTCTGGAGGGTTGTCACCCTACTCAAGACAACTCTAGACTTTCTGTTGTCAGTCAAGACTTAAGGCTTTCAAACTATCATACACTAGTTGCTGCTGTGATTCTCTTAATACTTTTTGCCTTTAGTCATTCACGCTGCTGTCCTAACAAATCCTTTTGAGCTGAATTTTGATGTCTCAATTCCACGCCATTTCCTGATATTCTGTGATACTTTATGAGCTATGTGGCGCTAACAAGTCGTTTCCATGTTGTTTTATTTCCTGTTCTTTTGATATGTGAAGTATAAGGTTTTATTATTTTAAGCATAAAATTCCAAAATCAAAACTTACATCTGCAATTAATGTATACTCAAAAGTATTAATGAATGCAATTTAATTGGACACAAATAATATTTTTTTTTTATCAATTCTATCTCTCGAATCACTAACAAGCGAAAGACTTTGTAAGGGTATTTACATTGAGGGGTATTGCCAAAGGACACAAAGGACTCCAAAGGACATACCCTTGCAACCTAGCAACTAGACGCATTATTTAAATCCCTTTCACTATTAGGCTATGTCCAGAACCCCTTCATTGTAAGTAACCCAAATAATACGTTACACAGAACATATATACACTACTTATATGCTGTGTCTTATTTTTTGAATATTATTTTCCGGTCGAATGCCCTAACATGACAAAATTTACTAGCCAAGACGAAAAATAAGACGGAGCTCTCGTTGCCTTTGCTGCTTGTCACTTAACGTGAAAAACAATTTTTCTTCAGCTATGAAGCTATGCCATGCACATGCTATACGTGTGTGTGTGTGTGTGTGTGTGTGTGTAGCTATCAAAAAACCAATTTTCGCTGCTAAATTGATGTTTATAGCAATGTACGATGATGACAACGACGAGCTAGATGATGTTGCCGTCGATGGCAATGATGAGCTTGTTGTGACCACCGTGCACCCGTGCTTCCGTAAGCCCCTGCCATGCCAAGACCGCCACCAGCTGATGAAGACAAAGTGCCAATGGGAAAAACTAAACGCCAAGCCGCCTGTCTAGGGCCTGACTTGCGACAATGCGCCATGAAAATCCTTTTCGACTCAGCTCAACTTAATTCGAGTCCCTCCTCTCGACGCGACTTGACAGCATTTTGATGCTTCCGGTTGTATTTTATGTGACACTTGCAGCACCATAGATCAGTAGCAGGCGCCGCGGGCCATGTTCTGGCATTGGCTGCGTTTTTTTTATTCTTGTTGAGTTTAGTTTTTATTAGGTATTTGCAGCCAGTTTATGAGCAATTGATTTGCTCGAGCGAATGCCATCAAAAGCAATCAGGTTCAAAAAGCGTGCAATGTTACTGCCCAATCGTTTAATTAGTCTACACACACTTGCGCGCACAATTTCCTTTTGTTTGACATACGAGCTGCTGACGCCAGCTCATGAGCAGCATCAATGCAATTACATATGAACTGAAACTCACTCAAACATCAGCGCCATTCACTCAGGGCCATATTGCACTTTTAACCCCTCGCCGTTCTACATGTCAACTGCATTTCCTTTTACGCTTGCCCTCGTCCATCATACGCCCCGTCACTTGCTACTTGCCAGTTGCCACTTGCCGCTTTATTGTGAGTGAATTAAAACGTTTGGCTGCACGCTTGGATTTAATGAATGCCTTTCCCGTGATTACAATTCGATGCACTTGAGCCGCTGTCGGCACACCCCAAAGCTTAAGCCGGGATGCATCTCACAGGCTCTATCTCATGCATTTGTCTAAGTCACATCAAAGCCCTGATGTCATATTCATCGCTCCACCACTCTCTTAATGTTAAGTGGCGCATAAGCATGGCTGACAACGGCATTAGTGGCAATTAGCCAGACACAGAGAGATCACAAAATTAATGTTATTTATGGAAAGGCAAGTGCGAAGACCTGGAGGAGGCCATGCCACATATACCACATATACTTAGTGTATCCCTAGATACCCTATGTTTCGATACGAGTGTTTGTTTGTTAAAATCGAATTTGTATTTCCCCATCTCGATATTGATGCCATATAAAAATTAATGTTTTACATTGTATTAGCTTGCACAGTTCGCAAAAACTATTAAATCTGCTAGTTGGCAATTGCTACTCTTTAAAAATAGTTTTAAATTTGAAAAAGACGGTTTTTGTATGTTTTATACACAAAAAAATAATAAAAAACAGAGATGAGCTCTTAAGTCAAAGGTACCCGAATAGCAGATACCCTGTAACAGGCTGTGGGCGTCTTTAGTATATTCATCAATACATACATATATAGACAAATGTTTTATTTAATAAACTAAGTTTTAGAAGTATTGTCGTAATTCTTTGCATGGGTTCATCTAAAAAGCTTAAGCTATTTTCGAGCTATTAGCAAGCTTTTGTTCCAATATATGACAAACTTTAATTAGCATCGGAATTTTATGTCATAGAGCTCTTTATAAGCGATCGGTTAACAAATTAGTATTTCCATGTTTGATTTTCATATTTTCAAGTATCTCAAGGTTAATTAAAGCGGGAGTTGTGTGTTCTAAGCGGACAAAAAGTCGGTTTAGCTTATCATAATAAAAGATAAATATCTGCGAAAGAAAAGATATTTCTAGATGGAAAAATGTCCGATAATTATGAGAGGCTTCGCTTACTTTGTCCTGTTACACCTGGTCATATTCATTATACCCTTTTTGCATACTCTAGGGTAAGACAAGAGAAACAACGAATTGACCGTACGACTTGTTAAATTGAACAAGCGCAATAGGGGAAGTGGTTAGGTAATGAATTCAACACTGAGTCTATATATGAGCAGGTGCATTCGCTTTCTTCATCCGTGATTCTGGAATATCCGTACTCATTGTGTTGCTTTGACTTTTCCAAATAACGTTGCCAATTATACTTCGACTTTGGCATACATTTGCACAGCTGCGTTCAATTAGTGCCATTGTCGTTATCTATTGACAACCGGAGCAAGGCTCGAACAAAACTTCAATGTCTATGCCAAGCATTAGACATTTGGGCCATACAACGGACGGCTATCGCACGAGCCAGCAAATTCTGTTCTGCACTTGTAATTAAAATTAACATGAGACTGTTAATCTGGGTGTGTTCGCTGTGCTTCGTTGGCAATAATGTCGGCGGCATGTTCTTGGAGCTGCCAGGCAACACAGCAGCAACACCAGCGAATGATGGTACTATCGATGACTTCCTAGGCGGAGCAATAAGTGGGCTAAACCGATACTTTGGCGGAAAGGCAGACGCTACAAGACTGAAGCCTGTCAGCCAGCGCAAAGGCAGTACCAGCCCCGAGACATCAACAGCCACGATGAGGCCATCGTCGTCGGGATTTTTTGATGAAATGGAAACGTCTCTCGAATATGCAACTGACACGCTCGACGGTCTCTGGCAGCAATTCAGACAGGTAATGCAAGTAGCGCAATCGATGTTGGCGCTAAATTGTGAGCTCTTCGTGCATTTCAGGGACTGCTGAATCTGGTAGACAGCTTTAGCGTCGCCGATAGTGATGGCAGCATAGACATTGATCAACGCAGTACAACGCCAACGAGTAACTTACAGCAGCTAGGAACAACAACACCAACAGTTGTGCCAACAACAAAAATCCCAACAGCAATAACAACCTTGCGGCTAGCGACTGAATTGGAAACGCCTATCAGCACACCGCTTCCATGATGACTTCTTGAACAAATTCTGGATTCAACTTCTTAACTTCAACACGCAACAAAAGATAAGCTATCATTAAAATTCATAAAATTTTTAACAAAGAAACCTACTCGAATTAATACAAAGTCTACATCGTCTGTGGCAACGCAGCTGTTTCAAATATTTACACAGCTGTTGGCCAAAAATATTTCACATCGGTGCAATCATACTAAGTAAGTGGAAGCAGTCCATCATTCGCGAAAGGCATGTTGAGGTGTTGCTTTAATCTTGTTATCTCTGCTCTGTTATCGCTAACAATGCACGTGTCTCTGGTGCAGGTATGTGCCAAAGCGTAAAGTAAAGGCGAATACTAATTAACAACATCACAGACAGCTCCGTTAGAGATAGCTTTAATGGGTATAGATCGCGTCGATCAGATTGGTTATGCTGCTGGCACTGTAAGCTGGGCTTATCCACTAGCTGACAAACGGGAAATGGTTCCGGAGCTGAAACTGTCGCTACTGCAAGATCGGTTCCAACAAGATGGTAAGATTAGTTTCTTTTCAACAAACAAAAGCTACTTATTTACATTTATCTGCAGATGTCAATATATGGCAAATGCATTTAATGCAACTCAACCTGCTGAAGATTTTGGTTATATTGGATGTGATGATATTTATATTTGTATGTTACGTAACGTGCATAAATTAAAATAATTGATTATTTTCTACACTTCAGTTTTTAATAAAACCTGTAAGATAAAAACTTAAGTTAAAAATGTTCAATTTTAGCATCCATTAATAATAGCAACTTTTAATAAAAGTATTTGTTATATAAGAACCATGAGATTATAGTTTTACCTGTCGACAAAGCCGTAGATGCATCTAGACGACCTTGACTGTACCTTCCTGGTTTTAATATTCATAATAGTAATTATTCAGAATATAGGTATTCAGAATAGTATGTAAGTATTCAGAATAGTACTTGCTTACAATGCAAACATAATGAGCTTATAAGGACAATAAGCTATTATTAGAGATTAATATGGAAGCCCAGTCAGTCTTTTGTCCAGCTTAATAGCAAGATATCTGTTATTTCTAGATTGGGGTATAAGCTATCTATTGTAATAAACACCTGAGCCGCTTTTGAGTTGATGTGTTAACAGGACACTGGAAGACCTGGCGCCGTTCACCTTCATATGCCACATGCCACATTCTACTCCCGAATAAGTAAAATATGCTCTTGCACCTCGTCTTTGGCATTGATCCCTGTATGCAGCTAATATTACTGTGTTATGTGCACTTATCATAAATAGCATATTCAGCAGCGCATCGGTTTTTGTCACATCTCATTCAGCATACCGCAAGTAAATAGTGTTTATAAGTCAGGCTCTGGAACACTTTCTAGCGAAGCCACACACTCTGTCACTTTTGAATTTCGGCTTCGAATGCTTCCTGAATAACTGAACTATCCTATCGGTGAAAGCCGAATGGCTGCAAGGATAGTATGCGCTCTACGATATAAGGACTAGCAATCTTGTCTAAAAACTATCTTTTTAACTTTTTAGAAACCGCGGATAGGTTTCTTTTTGGGCAAAAAACATCAAGACACTTCTGGTTCTGTATGGGCTTAGGCATCTCCCTTGGAGATTTCCCTAAAAGCGTGGATCACTCTAAACGGAAGCGATGGTGCGAGTGCTGACAGTGAGCGGGTTACCTTGTCAGAATGCTCATGGCTGATGGTACTAAAAGGCCATTCATTCTTCCACGTTTGTCGTCTTACAATCTACTTTCTGCTAATACCATTAGCACCCTGAATGGGAGGAGATGTGGGTGGCTGTCGCTTTGTATTACGCGTAAAATATAAGAGTCTGAATTCCACGCTGTTGCCATGCTCTTTCTCAGACTGTTAGTACTTAAGCGCTCACTCAATGAAATTGGCATTATCAGCATATATAGAAGCAATAATTATCATGAGCTCAACTTACAAAGCTATTCATTTACTGTGGGAACAGTAGCGGCCTTTGCGCCGCATCAACCGATAGTTGCATTAAAAAGTTTTGCAACTTTTGCGTTTATATTTGTTGCAGCTCCACATAATAATTGCACAGCTATTCAATAATTATAAGGCACTTGATGCCCGTGGAAACCTGAACACTTAACACTGAACACTATGGCTAACACCCTCGAACCCAAAATGCAATGGCCATAACATCATTAAATATTGGCAGCTGCTTATTGGGCAAACAATGCGTGCCAATTGTGTTCGGCTGGTCTGCAGCAGCAGTTGTTCGTACTGTTTGTTTGTTTGTTGGCACTTTTCCATAGTTGGCTTCATAAATATTAACAGCTATTAAAACACTGAACTGGAGCATCCATGCAAAAGCAGCCTGAAAATTAATTTTAAAGTTTTAAACCGACTGGCGCGCAGTTTACGCGCAATTTAGCAGACGATGTGAAAACATAACCAGGTCGGGCTCAAACGGCTGGTTAAACCAAAATTTACATGCACTTGTGTGCACATGCGTGCATGTTCGTGTGTGTGTGTGTGTGTGTGTGAATGCCTAAGAGCATGCAATAGCATTGTGCAGCCTCAATCTAATGGCTCATTTAATTAAAAACGGAAATTGAGCAAGTGACCAAGCACGAGCCGTAGCCAAGTGGCCGGCATAAACTTTTTACCAAGTTCTAGGAAATATTAAAAACGGAAAACACTTTGGAGCAACTAATTTTCTGGCACTGTCCTCTTCGTTTTTTGCTGCGCTTCAGCTTTTGGATCTCTTATGCCCTTACTGGAAGTATTATGATTTTGTCACAAAATACGCATTTTCACACTATATATATATATAGTCTCATCTCTAGAACAGATACTAAGTCGGCGCACTAAATGGTGTATTTGTGATTATATATCTAGTATGCCACATTTGATTTGCAGATAGTTTAGCTCAGCAGCTATGAGTCTGAAAGTGTGTTTCATTTTCGGCGATTCTTAAATCTAAGTTGCACTTCGTTTTTCTTGTTGGCAGCTTTTGTGGGTTCAAGACTTGGCTAGCTGTCCACTTCACAGAAAGGGCGGCGCAGCACGTCGAGCTGAGTGCCAAGAAAGGAAGCGAGCGTGTCGCAATTAGCAAGTTTATTGCATGAAATTATGAACCGCTTAATAAAAACGCGCTAAAAAGAATATTTGGCTATGCATGGCTGAGAGCGAGTGTGTGCGTATATTAAAAATAAAGTGGGCGGCGCACTTTGAGCCAAGCGAGTTAATTAAAAGGTTCACATATTTGAAAAGTTCGCCTCGCCCAACAAGCGCAACGCAGTTTAATCATGTAAGTGCTGGCAAATTGTCGGCTAAAATTCGAGCCAGATAAATATTGCGCATACGCCTAGAATACGCGTTAAAAGGATGCTGCTGGTTGGCTTTTGTTGTCCCTACTCCTACTGATGATGCCGAGTTTTATGCTAATGGCTTTCGTTTAAAGCCAAAAGTAATTTATTGTTGTCAGTGGGCACCATCAAAAATGTTGCTGCACATTCATTATGCCCAAATGTATGCGCCTTCGTGTGTGCGATTGTATGTGTGAGCGTATTTGTGTTTGTGTTTGTGTATGTGCATTAAAATTTTAGCCGAACATAAAGCCACCTCCCAGCGTCGCCGGCGAGCTAAAAACTTGCATAGAAATTAAGTTAGCCAAGGGGAAAATGCTTGAAAATATAATAAAATGTTATGCCGCATGTCTCGCAGCTATTTGTTGTACAAACTCTTATTATACCCTTCACACATGCAAATTTTAAAATAGGGCTAAAGTTAAGCTGTCTAAATTTATATTTAAATCAGCTGCAGATATTACGAATATATTTAAGCATACAGCTTGAATTAATATTGTTCCACATTGTTCCAGTATTCATTTCCTCTGGGCACCCTCTTAGGTAACGATTGTAAATAATAGAAACACACCGGTTATGGATAGCCATTAGCACGTTCTGGCAACAATCAAATTCAATTGTATTCTGCTCTTTCATTTTACGGAAATAAAATTTCTAATAAATATGCTATGCAAACACTTTAATTTATTATTAGATTAATTCATTCATTCACCATTCACGTCGACTTAATAATTTCTAGAGTCGAGTTTATTATATATTTAAAAAAAAAAAAGATTGCATAACTTTTTCATATGAGCAGAGAATTTTTTAAAACTATTTGAACCCATATATAATTTTGTTAGAAGAAAACTTATGACGAGCGGAAACTATTGATGGTGAAAATATGAAACTATTCCAAGTTTAATTTGTGGTAAGGCTTTTCCTAGCAGAGAAGTTGTTACACTAAACAGGAAAACCAAAATTGCATGCGTTGCATGTATACGAAATGTATTTTTGTTCGTTGGCTTAAGAACAAAACTTAAATATTTTAGCAGTCGGTTTTCACTACCCACGCGACACGTCTTTGACGTTTTGGCCTGCTCGTTTTCGGGCCGTTTGTCGTTGCGAAGCGCCCGGAAGTATGCAAAAGATAAAACGAGCGCGAACTTTGCAACATGTTTACGGTAAAAACGTGATTTTCGGCCCAAAAACTGGGCCCGGCTGGTGCTGACCAAATGTGGCCAAGGCCAAACCCTTCACCAACCACAAATAAGTTGAGAAGTTGAGGAAAGCACGCCACAGAATCAGCCCACAGCCCACAACCCACCCACAAGGCTCAACATCCTCCACGAGGCCACAGTTATAAAAATTAAACATTTGTAGCTTTGTCACGTTTGTGTTGACACTTTCTTATCACAGCCAGGCGAAATGAGTTTCCGGCTTCGGATACGGTTCCAGCTGCCACCTAGCACTCGACCCGGCCTAAATATGTGAATGTGCGTGATAGTATTGACTGCGACTGTGACTGTGCTGTAGAGCGCCAGCTTACCTGAGCAGAGCTTAAATAGAAATGCACGTGTATACGTAAAGGGTCTGCTGCCATGTACAATTGTACACATATGCTCCGTATTTTCATTAAGGTTTAAATTCTTGAGTGTGATGACATGATGTCAATGTGGCAAATTAACTTATTGTCAAATTCCAGAATTCTCTTAGCACTTTACATTAATTTTAACAATCAATTTTGTTAAACATTTAATCAAAGAATATAATTCCATCATTTTACCAAGAAATTAAATTGCTTATCGATTTCCGTTTAAGGTACATTCTTTTCTTAAAATTACAAATTAACTGTCTGTCAATTGCAGCAGTAAATTAAATGTAGCAATATAGAATTAGCATTAGTATTAGAAATTATCCTGCCCCAGACTGTAAGCTTTGACAAAAAATGTGATTTGTGAATATGCATAACCATCTTGTTTACAGGCTTCTTAGTCAGGCTTAGTTTACATCAGCATCTTGTGCTGCCAACTAACTATATGCATCTGCTTTACAAATTTGACCAAATATTGGATCATTCCGCTCGGACCGAGCACGTCTCTAGCTCCGGGCTAGCTAGCTACCTGAGCTCTTAATTTGTTGCCATTGCTTGGGCTCAGTAATTTCATTTGCATATTTAATAATTATGAAAATGTTGTTCGCAAAGCTGAGCTATGTTCTGGGGCGAATTTATGGCATGCCATTCGGGCTTAACTTTGAAGTGTATACGAGTAAGTGTATAAAAAGTACAACTTGTGGGAAACTTTGTTGCCATGCAACTTTAATGAGTCGTTGCACGAGACCACAAAA